GAGCAGACTCCGGGTGAGGACTCAGCCAACTTCTTGAAAGGAACCATGGCCGCCCCCCTCGTCCCGCCCCACGCCTTGCTCCCCCCCTTCTTTCTCCCCGGGGCGCAGAGCCAGAGCGTTCGATTCAGCGTGGACGAGGAGGCGCCTCCGGGCACGGTCCTCGGCGTCTTGGCCCAGGAACTGCAAGGGCCTGCTCCTGCCGTCGAGGCCGCTCCCGGCACCTTCCGGCTGGTGAAGGCGCCGGGCAACGGCTCGCTGGTGCGAGTGCGCGAGCGGGACGGGCAGCTGAGCCTGGGCGCCGAGCGGCTGGACCGCGAGCAGCTGTGCGGCCAGGCGGAGGCGCCCTGCCTGCTGGCCTTCGACGTGCTCAGCCTGGGCGGCCCGTCCTCGCCGCCCTTCCGCCTGGTCCACGTGGAGCTGGAGGTGCGGGACATCAACGACCACGCGCCGCGCTTCCCGCAGCCCCTCCTGGCGCTGGAGGTGTCGGAGAGCGCGGCGCCCGGCACCCGCCTGCCGCTGGCCCTGGCGCACGACCCGGACGTGGGCTCCAACGGCCTGCAGAGCTTCGCCCTCTCGCCAGGCAGCCCCTTCGGCCTGGAGGCGCAGAGCCGCGCCGACGGGCTCAAGTGCGCCGAGCTGGTGCTGCTCCGCCCGCTGGACCGCGAGGCGCAGGCCGCCTACCGCCTCGAGCTGGTGGCCAAGGACGGCGGCAGCCCGGCGCGCTCGGGCACGGCCACGCTCAGCGTGCGCGTGCTGGACGCCAACGACAACGCGCCCGCCTTCCCCCGCGGCGCGCTCCTGACCCTCGAGCTGCCCGAGGACGCGCCGCCGGGCGCGCTGCTGCTCGACCTGGACGCCTCCGACCCGGACGAGGGCGCCAACGGGCAGCTGCTGTACGCCTGGGGCAGCCAGGTGCCCCCCGAGGCGCGCCAGCTCTTCAGCCCCGACCCGCTCTCCGGCCGCCCCGGCCTGCGCGCCGCCGTCGACTACGAGCTCCAGCGCACCTACGAGCTGGACGTGCAGGTCAGCGACCGAGGCGCCAGCCCGCTGGCGGCCAGCTGCAAGGTGGTGGTGCGCCTGCTGGACGTCAACGACAACGCGCCCTCCGTGGCCATCAGCGCCCTCAGCGCCGGGGGCGCGGACGCTCGCGGCGGCGCGGGCCCCGACGACGAGGAGGCCTCGCCGGTGGCCCACGTGAGCGAGGCGGCGCCGGCCCAGAGCCTGGTGGCGCTGGTCAGCACCTCGGACAGCGACTCGGGCGCCAACGGCCAGGTGCGCTGCGCCCTCCTGGCCGCGCCCCACCAGCCCTTCGCCCTGCAGCGCGCCTACGACGCCGCCAGCTACCTGGTCCTCACCACCGGCGCGCTGGACCGGGAGCGCGTGGCCGAGTACAACCTCACGCTGGTGGCCGAGGACCTGGGCTCTCCCCCGGCCAAGACCGTGCGCTCGCTCACGGTGCGCGTGGCTGACGAGAATGACAATGCCCCGTGGTTTGCCAAGGCGCGCTACGAGGTGGCCCTGCTGGAGAACAACCCCCCGGGGGCCTACCTGACCACGGTGCTGGCTTCTGACCCTGACCTGGGCCCCAATGGCAAGGTCACCTACCGCCTGCTGGACAGTCAAGTCATGGGTGCCTCTATCTCGACCTATGTTTCAGTGGATCCAGCCACAGGAGCCATCTATGCTCTCCGAACTTTCAACTATGAGATCCTGAAGCAGGTGGAGTTGTCCATCCAAGCCATGGATGGGGGATCTCCTCCACTTTCCAGTATAGCCTTGGTCAAGGTACGGGTGGTGGACCAAAATGACAACGCCCCTGTCATAACATCTCCTGTGCTCACCAATGGGTCCCTTGAAATTGGTGTGTCCAGCAGAGCTTCCCGAGACTCCCTTGTTGTGCACATCAAAGCCAGAGATGCAGATGAGGGCATCAATGCAGAGCTGAGCTTTACTTTCTCAGAAGATCCCCAGCAGCAGGAAGGAACCCTAGACCTTTTTGCCATCAACCAGAAAACAGGGGAGGTTATGCTCACAAGGACCTTATCTGAAGAACAGCTGGGCCAAGTCTATCCATTGCTTCTCACCGTGGCTGACAATGGGATGCCACCTCTCTCCACCACAGTCATGGTCAATTTCCTGGTGACTGCATCACTGCCTCCCTCTAGTGGCCAGGATTCGGTGGCCAAGCCAAGCTCTTGGGAAGACCAGACCTTGCAGTGGGATGTCCCCTTAATTGTAATCATTGTTCTGGCTGGGAGCTGCACTTTGCTCCTGGTAGCCATCATCACCATTGCCACCACTTGCAATAAGCGCAAGAAGGAGAAGAAGGGGGCTTTGGAGGAACCCCTTGATACTTCTCATCTGGAGAAGGGGCATCAGGATGGAAGCACCAGTGATGGCGGCCTCAGTTCCTCCAGCCCCCACTTTGAAGTGCATTCCTTCCCCAGCAAATCTTCTTTCGCTAGTCCCGAGCCCTCTCCGGCCAGTGAGGATATCTCAACTTCTGAGCACAGCCGAGAAAGCACCGGTCTCTATGACAGCCAGAGCCGACTCCGAGGAGCAAACACAGAGGTAACCTCCTGCAGCTTCACTTGCCTTGGGGAGAGAAGGAAAGTTCCCTTGCTCATTGCAGCTTAACTCGCTCCTGAATGTCGAATGAAAAATGCATGCCCTAATTAATAACAAGGCAGGAACAGAGTTACTCACAGGCTTGTCGAGAGATTTACTGAACCCAAATAAAGCATGTTGGAGTTGAAGGTATTAGGGATCCATGTGGGTTAGCTGCTTTCAAGTGGGGGTCACTTGTGGGTGAACCAGGCTATTGGTTAGCCTATTTTTATTAAGTGTTTCTTCTGACAATAATTGTGTCTTTTCTTTTTGTGTGTCCATGTTTCTCTCCTCCACCCCTCCAACTCCCTTCCTGCACCCTCTTCCAGTCTTACACTTCCACCCCTAGTTACAGCAAAGAGCCAGTGGCCCCGGTGGCCATTTGGAAGGGCCATTCTTTCAATACTTTATCGGGCAGAGAAGGAGAAAAATTCAGTGGTAAAGACAGTGGCAAAGGTGACAGTGATTTTAACGACAGCGATTCTGACATCAGCGGAGATGCTCTCAAGAAAGACCTCATCACTCACATGCAGAATGGTAAGCTGTCTTTTACCCCTTAGCTTATTGACCTAGAAATGTCACAGAGAGACAAAACTGTTGCTTCTAAAACAGAATAAAATGAGCAGGATGTTCATTGCAAAGCACCTCTAATGACCTAGATATTCATCCATTTTGGGAAAGCTCTTTTTGATCCTAGGAATATGCAGAGCTGCAACTGCGCTGTTCCTTATAGCCGCTTGCAAGAGCTCTTGGGGACATATGCACCAGCATGGCAGAAGATACCAGATGCATCCACACCATTGTTTGGAGGAACAGATCCCCTTTAATTAAATATTACATTCTTATCCTGCTCTTTCTCGAGAAAATGATCCTTTATTCTCACTACGATCCTTTGAGGCTGAGAGATGCTGAATCATAAAAGGTCACTTGGAAAGCTTCATAGCTGAATAGGGATATGATTGCTTGGCCCTCATGAACTACATGGTTTTATTACCAAGTCAGGTGAGCGTATAGACTCTTTGCAGTTGCTGATTTCTCCACTGCTTCCTCACCATTAAAAATGGAAGGCATTCTTAGAATAGAGTCTGGCTTTGTCTTGATAACTGAAGGGGGGAAATTGCTACTGGGAACATGCATGGTGAGAGGGAACCACTGTATTAGGTTAGAGCAGTATCTCTCAATCTTGACAATTCCAGATGTGTCGGCTTCTGTTCCCTGAGTTCCCCAACCAGCATGGCCATTTGCTGAGGATTGGTCTGCACATCTGGAAGTTGCAACATTGGGAGACCCTGGGTTGGAGGAAGCTGGTTTTCTGCATGTGGTTGGGTTTCAGCTGGCATAGTCCTTGATCGTTGGCAATGCTGGCTGAGCTTGACAAAACCTGAAATCCAACAACAGATAAAGGGCCAGAGATGGCCCACTCTTGCCCTGAAAGCTGTTATGATGTACAAGATAAAATGATGAACACAAACCAAGGAGATCTGGTTTAATTTGATGAAGGTCACAATATCACTGCTTTGTGTAGCGTACTTCTACTTTACTTGGATCTTATAAAGATAATAGGAGGACAAATATCACTCCATTTCATTATGAGTTTTAATAACAGTATATCCCTAGATAGCTCACTGAATTTTCAAGGGGTCAAGACAGTTCTGTTTTATTCTCTGATCCTTTTAAACTGACTTTGATTTGTCCATTGTTAGTCATATCAATCCTCATTTCTTCCCCTTGGGGAACCATTAGAAGAGATAATTACACAGATATAACACACTGTCAAAAAACAAGCAAAAAAACCCCACACGTTATCTCAACCACATCTACATTTTTTATTGCTTTGGGTTGGCTTCCCCAGACAACAGTCCCTGGAAGTGGTAAGAACTGTAGACTGGTATGTTAGGTTTGGGGAAACTGTTTTACGTGATAGGCTTTGAGAAGCCAATTTGGATATTTGCACAGTGAACTCTAGGCCACCTTCTTCCCCCTCCTCCCCCCAATTATATTAAGTGAACTAATTAATAAATGACACAGTATTGGAGTCAATATCGTTTCCTGGGAATTCAGCAATCGTATCTAGATGGAAGCCAAGTGATGGGTGGAGTATTGGCAATGCTACAGGTTTTTTTCATGTGTGAGCTACACTAACCATGCCTTTACTCAACATGGATGGTTGGGACCAGTTGAAGATTTGATTAGTGACATGACAAATGCTATGATTCTTTGCAATTCTGAGACCAGTCAATGAATAAATTTCAAAGTGGGCTTGCAGGATCCATTGAGGAAGAAGTTGTTGATTCATTGATTGCTCAAATCTGCATATATTTGATTTATTGACTACATAAATGTAGGAAAGTCTACTGGACTTTGAACAGAATAAAATTAAAGTTGCCACACCTTGATTGGATCCTGCCTGAGCTTTTGCTGTTGTCATGCGCTTTATCAATAAAACAGTAACCCAACTCCTTGCAGGGGTTCAGATCCCAAAATTATGCATGCAGGAGGGCCTCCGTTGCCAGATCTCCAGCAGGAATGGAAAATTCTGCATTCATAGCAATCCCATTCTGAACCAATAAGGAGGCTTCTTGTCCCAAATGCCAGAATATAATTTATTTTCTTTGCGAGGTAGCTTGCCAATTCAGGACAAATTTGCTAGCGGAAGTGTTTACCCTGCTTGGAATTCCTGGCACTGTTTCCTGTGCTGCTTTGCCTCATTTCGTAGCCTTTGGTCTCTTGCATCTGGTGTTTACACATCTGCTTTGTCACCTGTCTTTTTCTAGGGCTGTGGGCTTGTACCGCTGAATGCAAACTCCTGGGACATTCAGACCGATGTTGGAGTCCCTCCTGCGCCCAACCCAATCCTCACACGTCTCCCCACCCCAAAACTCAGCTCTCCACCTTCTGCAGAACGACGTCCTTGCCCCGAGACTCGCTCCATCGTGATCACTTCTACCATGCCCAGCTGCCAAAGACGGTTGGGCTACAGAGTGTCTACGAGAAGGTTTTGCACCGGGATTATGACAGGACAGTTGCCCTGCGGTCTCCTCCTCATCCAGGAAGATTGCCTGACCTCCAGGAGATATCAGTCCCTTTATATGAGTCTCCCTCTACTCATTATTTAGGCTCTCCCCCTGAGACCAGCAAGAAGGTTTAAACGTCTCCAGCACTTGAAGCATGTGAGCATCCAGCCACGAGCCCTGTTTAAGAAACTGGCGTCTGGCCTCCAAACCTGTATTTCTAAAAGGCTGCACTTGTGGGGATGTTTGCTCCCCTCCTCCTTTGCAGTGTAGTTGAAGAGGACAGTGACTCTGAGCATGTGCAAAGTGTCTTTCCCACTGCTTTGTGACCCAGTCATCTCTCCCAAGATTCCAGGAAGGCCTTTTTGTATCTTTTTTGATAAATGAAACATTGCTTTAATTCTCCCCATCCCAAACTAAGTATGGACCTAGAAAAGTGCTCATTGTTAGACCATCTCCAAGACATTATCAACCGGGTCTGGTGATGTATATAAGTAAAATGTGCCTTAAAATATAAAGATGTGTATATGTACAAATATACATGCATATCATATGTATGGAAAAAGATGTGTCTGTGTGTATTTGTACATGTATATACACAAAATTACATGCATAAACATGTATGTGTGTGTACAGATAGATAATATGTATAAATTAAGTTGTTGGGAAAGATTTCCAATTGCATTGGTACTGTTTGATATTTGCAAACGAAAAATTCTTGTTAATGTAATTTTTATGAAATGTGCAGTATTTAATTATTTTCTGATGTTCCTCCTTAGTTTCACCCGAGGTCTGCATTTTCATCACTTTTTTTCAACCTGTATATCATGTAATGTACTGTTTGTATATAGAGAAATGTCACTCTATTTTTATATAATAAAACCTTGAGGATCAAATATTCTTTCCCAGGGAAATATTTAAAAGACATGCTCAGAAAAAAGAGAGAACCGTGAATCTTTTAGGGATCCATAAAATACTGTAATGTTAGTTAAGCAATTGCTTGTTGTTGGAAAGACTGCTTTACCAAGTGTGAATTGTGTTTCTGAAATCCATGGTGAGTTTCAAACTAAATGTGGATTAATTATTCTGTGTCACTTGTATAAACACTAATAAAGGTTATGTGTCAGAGGGGTTTGAATATCATGATTCACTGGCCTTAGCAGATAAAACTATTTTTGCATAGGAAAACCAAGAGTCATGAATGCCACCATAGAATTAATAGCATCAAAGCTTAGTTGAATTCACCTCTTACATTTCTAGAGTCAGTGCTACGAATGACGAGGCCCCACATGCCATTCAAATAATTTAGCTCATGTTTAGAATAGATAATACAATCAAGACTGTTCCTCAGATTATGTCATCTGATTTTCCCAGATTATATACATTTACATGGTTTGGGGAAAAATTAGGCAGCTGTGGGGGTGGGGCACGTTTAAAATGTTTTAGAAAGCTAAGAGCCGCAGTACTGTAGATAGGACCCAAAAAATTATAGTGATTTTTTTCTGTTAAGACTACTTAGTTTTTTTAAGACTATGGCAGCGGTTATGTTACGTTTTTTATTTCCGACAGCAGAATGATTGGAAGGCTTGATTTTTGGAAATTCTTTTCAGGAGGGGCAACAAAAAGAAGAGTTTGGGATCTACGTGTGAGATCGTGGCACTCCATGTTTTTAGATCCACAAAGGTAAACACAATCGCAGGTTGCTTTCATGATACTTTTGAGGGATCACAGATGAGGAAACTGGTAGAAACCTGGTTTCAAACTGGCCTGAAACATCTGTGCCGTACCAGTATCCTTCATGATTTGAACTCCAGGCCAGGTACCAGTTTCATCATGTTTATATTTACATCATATTCATATCTCAGTCCCAAATAATACACAATGCTGAGAACATGGATCAGATCAAATGACTATAGTTTAGTCAATGACCGGATCAAGAGGTTCTTTGGAAAACTTCATGATAAGTGGCAGTTGGCTGTAAAATAACCCAAAATGATGATGCCCAAAGGTCATAGGTAGCCCACTACTTCTATAAATAGCCCTTAAGAACCTAAAAGTGACTTGTTTTGGGGAGCTTGCAAGAATAAGGATAAATATAATGTCAATTTATGTAATTACAGGCTTTTATGTCTCTGTTCATTTGGGGGTTTGCTTAGGTGAGAGCTGTTGTTCAATCTTGTCTGAGCTCAGAAGCTGAACAGAAGAGGATTGGATCTTGGATGGGAGACCACTAGGGAATATTTTGCCTTGTTTTTAGTATTAGACTGTCTCTCATCAAACCTTGGCATGATTTCAGTCAGGGGTGAGTAACATTAGCCAGGCAACTTTTGTCTGGCCTCCTCTAACTCCAACCCTAACCCTAACCCCACACCAAGGTCAGAGTGTTGGGGAGGTTAGCTATGAACTCCAGGCAGCTTCAACAAAGCGGAAGTAGGTTATAGTCGCTACTCCTGTCACTTTGAACATCTATAAGTGTTTATAGAGAGCTACCAAGCTCAGCTTAGAACTAAGAAAGGTGAAGCCTCTGAGCAATGCTCCATTCCTGGTCACTCCATGGCATTAACCATGGTAGAACCACTTAACTCCCATTTGGCCTCAGTTGCCCCAAGTGGATAGCGCAATCAGGGTGTTGTGAAAGGTTGGCTGAAGGAGCAGGACTTCAGCTCCAACTTGACCAGCTAGGGAATAAATACCTTTTTAATTTGAAGGAATTCTAATTGTTAGGACCATATGATTTGCAGCCTGAAGAAACAGCCATCCAACCATCTTTGAGAAATCCATCCATTAACGCTGGATGACTAGAGGATGGAAAATGTTGTCCCTATCTTCAAAAAGAACTGAAAAAAGGAACCAGGAAATTACAAACTAGTCAGACGTTAATTGTAGAGAAGACCATAAAGTGAACAATCTGCAGGTAACTTGAAAACACATGGATCTGTCAAGAATAAGTCATACCAAACAAATCATATGCCATTGTTTAATTGAGCAGCTCCATTAGTAGATTGTGCAAATGCAACACATTTAATGCATCTTGACATTAGCAAAGGTGAACTAAGTACCCTACCCCACTATATTCTGACCCACAAATTAGGGTACAGTCCTGACCTGATACACTTCAATGTTTTTATTAATGATTTTAATGGTGACAATGCTTGTCAAATATGTAGATGAGACAAAATGTGATTGCATAGTTAATTCCACAGAAGGGGGGGGATCAAAATAATCTTGATAGGTTAGAATAGTGGGCTGAAATTAAATGAATAATAGAGAAAAATGCAGATGTAGTCATTTAGGTAAAAGACAGACAGGTACAGCATACAGGATGCCTGATATGGAAATAATATGTGTTGAAAAAAATATTGGAATTGTTGTTATTCCAAGTGGAATATGTTGGAATATAGTTGCTAAAAAGGCAATTTAAGGTTTAGAGGTTTGCATCAACAGAGTTTTAGAGGTTTCAAGCCACCGTCTACTCTCTTCCACATTGGTCAGATCTCACCTCAGGTACGGGGCATGGTTCTAGACACCACATTTTTAACAGACAGGAAGATTTATACGATCTGAAGAGAAATCAGAGTCTTTTAAATATTCGGGCAAATTTGGACAGTTACAAAGAAGGGTGGCATGGCTAGATTGGGATTTAGTCGGACAAAGAGAGAATTGTAAGTATGGCTTTGACATATGTTTAAATAAGATAGCATTCTTCAAGTACTTGAAGGGGTGTCATACAGAAAATGTTCTCTGTTGCAGGGTTCCTCCCCCCCTGTTAGTACCGGAAGGAAGTGTGGGTGTATATATAAAAATACACTATACATCTCCC